TGACGTAAGTGATCATGTTCTAATCAGTGAGAATCTCAAAACTGTAAAGATGTATTGGTAAATGTTTTAGCAAACTGATGGTATCATCACGACAAGATAGGATAAGATATGATAATACTTTATTTTAGGGTGGGGAATTTTGGTCACATCATGAACAAAAAAACAAAACGTACATAAAAGTGCATTAAACAACATGTAGGAACAACTCAACTGTAAATAATCGAGTCTGGCCCAGATAATCCAGTGATCAACATCATGAGCATCGATCTAATGGGATCCCATGACATGTGTCAACCAAGTCAGCAAGCCTGAAAACCAGGGGTTCGCGTTTCTTTTTTGAGGGGTGGGGGAATTTTGAAAGTCACATCATGAACAAAAATAAAGCGATCATTAAAGCAACAATGTAGGAACAGCCTGGCAACCCGATCCTGTCACTCGCCTCTTACGACAAGCATGGGTTACTGAAGATCAATTCTAACTCGGATTTTCACGAGTGACTTAAAATATAATTACACACAACAATCATATAGCTGGGATATTGCAAAGGGACAAGAATCAAACTTTCTCATAGGGATCTCTCTCATTGATCCTTGGAGGATGCTAAACACAAGCTCCGGATCGAGCTGAAGATATCACTGGGTGTGGAGCAGGACATAAACTGAGGATTAATGGAAAGAAAAACGTCTTCCGTTCAGTGGAATTAAGTAACTCATTACGTTCACATTAAATTGTCCTCTTGGCCTAACTAGTCAATAAATCTGGGAGTGTCTATCAACAAGAAGAGATAAAGGCTAATCAGTGGACAGATACCTATCCTGTCCGACACATCCTCTGTAGCTGTTTATTGACAACACAGATTGATCTATAGGCAACAATCATAAAAAGGTTTCCTCAGCAGCTGCTTGTGGAGGATCCCCTGGGTTCAGTGGGCTGACAAGGTGCCTAATTAGTGTTAAGCACGTGTGTTGTTTTGATAAACTGGATGTAAGAAATGCTTACTGTTTTCCTAAAAACAAAAATCTAAATCTCTTATTGGATGAGGAGTTATCTATCACTCTGTATGTGCCTTTCAGGAACTGTCTGATGGAGTGGATTGAAGTAAAATACCGTACTTCTCATTACCGGTTCTGTCATATGATGGATCTGGAGTCCTGTTTAAAGTGCATTATACCTTTGTTAGTCTGTCTCAAAGTCTCTGAAACGCATTATTTTAACTTCTGCCCTTTCTGCAAAACTAAAGCCCTAAATGAAGCAAGTCTGGATTCTTCAGGTCTGAATCTCCCTTTTCACTGGGGCTCCTTTTCAAGTTTAAGCAATTTTTTTGGTTTCTATCAACATTGTAAATATTCAGAGACAAAGGTTTAGTCTTCACCATTACAGGCACATGATGTAAATGGGTGACAGTGTGGCAGATGTATTGGGTGTTGACAGTAGATGTTATTTAATGGTAAACTGAAAGGGTTTGACTGGATGCTAAATACTGTATCATTAAAGATTGTGTACACAACTTGAGAATGGATTGAGATAACTTACACTAGTGGAGTGGCGGTGGGGTAGCCTAGTGGTTAAAGTGTTAGCTCATCATGCTGAAGTCCCGGGTTCGATTCTCCATATGGGTACAATGTTTGAAGCCCATTTCTGTTGTGCCCCACCATGATGCTGGAATATCACTTAAAGTGGCGTAAAACCATACTCACTCACTACACTGGTGAATGCCTAAATATATAGCTGTTGAATCATGGAAGCTAACAAAAATTAGAGACTGCATGATACATTAAAGTGACGTGTCTAATTTCTATCTAGCTCAGTGGTTAAAGTGTTTGATCATCACACGTAAAATCTGGGTTCAGATCCCCGTATGGGTACAATGTACGAAGTCCCTTTCTGATGTCTATTGTTGATGTGGCTGGATTATTGGTAATCTATCTATCTCTCACTCACTCACTCACTCACTCACTCACTCACTCACTCTATCACTCTATCACTCACTCACTCTATCACTCACTCACTCTATCACTCACTCACTCACTCTATCACTTTACATATACACTCAAGGTTCAACTCCAAGACTGATATTTGTCTATAATTGATATTTGGCTTGTAAAAATGTGTATTGTCTGAAACATATCATTTTGGTATTGTCAAAAACTTTGCCAATCTTATCATTCTATCGCTCTTTTCGGAAATAGGGAATCTGCCACACTTCCACCTCTCGATATCAATATTGAATTTAAGGATAATTATGTCAACAGGTGTTCCATCATTCCTTATTTTTGTCAGCTGAAAGAGGTGCCCATTGCCCAAGGGCGTCTTGTACAAGATACAGGATCTCCCAAAGGCAAAGAATAGCCAATTGATAAAACGGCAAAGTCGCGTGTCACTCATTAGTAACATGATACTGCCGGACGATAAGCCTTGGGGACAAGAACCACATGTAATTCCTCATTCATTCTCATATTTCATATAGTAGACCACTGTAGCATTGATGCATAATCTGTGGAAATGGCAAGCACCTGCTGACACTTTACTGGGATGTGATGACTTGTGAACTGCAGGACCTTTGGTTCTCTTACAACATTAGGACCCTGTAAAATGGCCAACTGGAGACCGATTAGCATCTTTGACCAATTTACTTGCTGCAGCTCATATCTGTAGGTGAATAGTTTAGACAAATGGCCTCATGAGATGTCCCTGTGGTCGGGACGGATGATCGTGAAGACACATTTTGATTCTCCAGAGGGCCATTGTGGTCGTTCTGTGAAGGACTGTCGGAAGCTATGTGGGAGGGGAAGAGCAGTCATGTATTGTCTGGACATGTGAATGGCTGTCAGATGAACTTAATGATGCTTGTGACAGAGGCTATGTTTTGTTGCACTGGATGACACCCAAAGTCTGTCTTGGGTACTACATGTGTTGTCCATTTCTGGTGTCCACAGTTGTTATTGCTGGATTATCACTCACTCCCTCACTCACTCGCTAACTCACTCACACACTCACTCACTCACTCGCTAACTCACTCACTTGCTCACACTCACTCACTTGCTCGCTAACTCACTCACTAACTCACTTGCTCGCTAACTCACTCACACTCACTCGCTAACTCACTCGCTAATTCACTCACTCACTAACTCACTCACAAACTCACTAGCTCACTCGCTAATTCACTCACCCACTCAAACATACACACACAATCAAACATGTACACACAGCTACATCAGAGAGAGAGAGAGAGAGAGCTATTTGACTTGTCAAACACACAGAGAGAGTGTAGAATGAATGCATAAGTCTTTAACACAATGGTTAACCCCATTTAACCCCATCTCACCTCACCTCACTGCCAGTGAGAAGCATAATCAGATGTCTTGTGAGAAATCCAATTTAGTTTGGTTAGGATTCTGTGAGATCTAAGCTATCAGCGCACTTGCAAATAACAAAGTCCAATTCTTTTTCATTTTGCACCAGTGGGCTGTACAAGGAATGGTATTGATGAACAATGGTCAAACCCAGCATCTTGTCAATCAACATTGGCATTTCTAATAATTAAATTTCAAAGAGCAAATCCCAGCAGTGCTGGGTTCTTCCAGTTTAACTCTGAGTATTGTATTACAGCTCAAATTTCCAGGAATTGATGCGATTATTAAAGTGTAAAAATGGTTTAGTGCCTTTCATGTTTGAAGCTAAAAATCTAAGACAAAATTATGATGGTTCGATGAATTAACACTCTTTCGGAAATTGTATCAACAAAATCTCATGGGACCATCTTCTCTGAAATCCAAAGAATTTTAAACTCTTTTATATTAAAGTCACTTTTTTTCCCCTAACAGAAGAACAGTGTGAACTTATGTGAACTAATGTGAACTAAGGTGAACTAAGTGAGGATAACACAAAGAACAAAACTCTCAAAGTGCTTTGTCCAGTTAAAGTCAACTTTGTGTTTCATCTGTTCCAAATCTTCAGTGCCAATACTTGAAATCCTGATATTTGTATTTCTCTTATAATTTCTTTTTACATAAAATCTGAATATATTTGAATCATTCTTCGTTGAAAGGAACATTACCACTGTACACTTTGCTGTCATGTTATAAATATTGTATAAGCACCGACAGAGGTGTTCTGTAAGTAGGCGACATGCCATGGACAATGCTGTGGAACTTAGGTTGAGTCAGTGAAACTGTCACAGGTTCCATGTCAATTTTGTGTCTGATTCCTGTAATGTATGGTCATTACCATTCCATTAGGCCTTAAGAAACTAATTGTCAGATTTTCACCCTTACCTCTCTCAGATATATTTTATCTATGCATTGGTTTATGGATTTTATGTGTCTCGTAGTCCTGTAAAGGCCGGGCAGATGTTTCATATGTGATACAGAAGATTTTATATATTATTATGTAAACATCTGCATGACATAATAATAAAATAATTTCTCCCACTAATTAAAATGGGAAGCTGACTAGGTTGTTGAAACTGGCAGATACCTTGATAGTGTGTTCGAAAACAATTAAAATTGTGAAATATTATTTCTCACATTTTTAGCTGGAATGAAAGTCAAGTATACAAGTGTTGTCAGTCATGCATTATTATTGTCATGCATTATTATTGCCAGAAACCACTTGACCAATGAAATCTCACCTGCTTGTTTCCACCAATGATGACAACCCAACTGGTTCACAAGGTTTGAATTGGGTTATGGTCGCCAAAGCAGCCATCTTGAAAAAACTATTTGTCCTGTTTTTGGTCAGAATGTAATTCAGTTAATTTCACCCTACTCAGACAATGCGCACTGACTACCAGTCAGCCAGTCCTTGTTTTGATACCGAGTTACAGGCAGGGTAATAACATGTACCATTTTTTAACACCTGTTGGCATAATTAAGCCAGAGATGAAGTCTTTGACCTTCCACCCACCGGACAAGATGAATGCATGTGTGACTGTGTATCAAATAATCCTGTAATGTATTTATTTAGCTTATTGTTTTCTAATTGATTATGGTCTCTTTCAGATTCCACATGTTATGGTTGTCTGAACAGAACCCAAGCCGGACACAATGTAAGTTGAATTTATATATTCTAGGCTTTTCTGGTGCATTTTTATGTTTTCTTGAGTAATGCAAATAAGTTTTTAAACCTGATCCAAACATGTATGAAAGATTGGCTTGATTGTTGGGAACAGACACAAAGTTGCTGATGTGGCGATAACATCCACAGCGGCACCAGTGGAAGGATTCTCAATAAATGACCGAGCATTTTGGGTATCAGTAATACACTGACTGGCTAGTTCCTGACAGTTGTCTGATTGTTTGGGTTTACCTAGCAGCCCATGTCAATATGATCTCATCAATGCATTGTAGTTAACAAATTAAGATGATCTCATCAATGCATTGTCCTAAACAATTTACAATAATGTCATCAATGCATTGTAGTTAGCAATTTAAGATAATGTCATCAATGCATTGTAGTTAGCAATTTAATATGGTGTCATCAATGCATTGTCCTAAACAATTTAAGATGATGTCATCAATGCATTGTCCTAAACAATTTAAGATGATGCTGTCAATGCATTGTCCTAAACAATTTAAGATGATGACATCAATGCATTGTCCTAAACAATTTAAGATGGTGTCATCGATGCATTGTCCTAAACAATTTAAGATGGTGCCATCAATGAAAACAATTTAAGATGATTTCATTGGTCGCAAACTGTTTTTGGTTCCTTTGCTTATGCCATGACAAATTATATTCTAAAATTTTACTTTGTTAGATATTGTTCATCAAGCCTGGTAACTGACAAGACTGCTCAAACATCTAACAAATCCTTCATTAAGAGGAGAAACCTGTACACCCATGACTACCCAACAACAGAAATCAGTGACGTATTTAGAACTTCCGTGACATGAGAACCGACTTCCTTCCCAGGAAAACTCAGGAGAACGTAAATGAACTGGAAAACAACAAGTTAAATCCCTTGTATCTTGTACTGGAAACCAAGCCCGATGCCTTGTTTCTTACACTGGGATTGATTGACACAGCCTAGCATGTGATGACAGTGATTGATGTATGGATAGTAGCCAGCGAACCTGAGTGCGGAAGTAGAGGATAGAGGAATTAACCGGTAACAAAAGGATTATAAATGGTATTGTCATGTTTCTCTTCTAACAGTTATGGTTCCCTAGACACTCAACAAACATATTGGTAATGGCCCGTGTATTTTGATGTGAAATACGTCAATAGAGAATATTCGGTTCTGATTTTTGTTGAGCGTTTCCTTCTTTGTCGTTCAGAGTTTGGTCAGACATGATTATGTCATGAAGACTGCAATTACACATTGACCGCCATGCTCTGAAGACCCTCCTATCTGAGGTATTGTGACCCTCATATCTGAGGTATTGTGCCAGATACTGATGCGATTCTACTGGATGTTGACTTCATGTTTTGAGGCCATTACGGGAGATGTACTGGAAGACTGGTAGATCTAGTAATGTCCTGATTAGCCTAATGAACAGATGTTTAGTTTGGCCTTATCACCTATCATTGATCTTTGCTACCTGAATCAGGTAAGATGTCTGGTATTGGACACTGGATTTCAATTTCACAGTTTGTTGTCCTGCTTTGATAAAAGGAAGCGAAGTTCTGTTGGGTGTTATTGGGATTTTTGGTGAAATACAAAAGTGTAGATATTTTGACCTGATGACGTCAACACGTCACTGGTGAAAAAGTGCCATGTTATAAATTTGTAAGCGTGACAACACGCTGGGATTATTGGTGAAGAGGAGGACATAGTTAACTAGTTCTTTATATACAAGAAACTATTGGAGTATTTATCAGCATAGCTCCAGATATTATGGATTATCTGTCAGGATTTGAAGCTCATCTTGATTTTATTAAGATGAGGGTTTGGCATTGGTTTCATCTGTCTGTATCTATCGTGCAGCGAAATGTGTCTCTTCAATATGGTTACTCTATTCACCGCAACCACACTCATATTGCCTCTGCTCATGCCATGAAATGAAGCGTAGTTAAAATACACAAAATAATCATGATCCATCCATGTTATAAAATACCTAAAAAACTGAAAAGGTAAATAATCCTGTCTAGTGATGTTTAAATGCAAATTTGGCATATTCACTGACAGTCGTTTTCTCTTGCTTGTTCACACGAACTGATATAATGCTGTTTTCTTACCACCAGAAAATAATGATGACAGCGGAACCTTAAGATAAGCCAACCGATTTCTACAGAATGATTTATTTGGTCTTCAAAATTGGGCTTATCTGAAGTCATATATGGTAACTGATGGCTCAGGCAATATTATAACAGACTCTGCTTTTTACACAGATTCTTAGTGATTATGGAAACATCTTTTGATTGTTAATTTTACAAAACTGATTCACTTCATGTGCAATGTCTCTGTCAGTTTTCTGCTTTTTCTGTTATACATCCCAAAGAAAATAAAAATGTATTATAAAACGTCAAAGAACCTGGAACCACAAGTTTTAAAGGTGAGCTACTGTACCTCTTGTAAATGCCATGTTTGTTTAACACTGCACTCCGCAGTATTCCAGCTATATGGCAGCAATATGTAAATAATCTGAGTCAATCCAGTGATGAACACCATGAGCATCGATCAATGCAACTGGGAGTGAATGACAATTGGTCAGTGAGTCTGACCACCCGATCCCGTTGGTCGCCTCTTACGACAGGCATGGGTTGCTGAAGAGCAATTCTATCCCAGATCGTCATGGGTTTGTACGCCAAATAAAATTATTCTTTCATTTGTTCCTTTTACAGGATTAATCAGGAAGTAAAATACATCAAAATGCATTCTATCTTTCTGTTATGAAAATGTCATAATTGTAAACTGAAAAGACATTTACAATATTTTGCTGTTTTTACATTTTGCAAATCCAAATAATCCTAAAATATCCAGAATCATTCACCTACCATGTCTTTCATAAGCTCCAACTTTGAACACAATGTATCAATGACCTAAATATGATACATCCCCAAATGATATTTCTGATTAATCTTGTCATTATTCTCCTGCTGTTGTAGCTTTTAAAGAATGTAGATAATTTCTCCCTACTTCCTGTGAAGTGGCAATACTCTTTACATCAAAGTCTGCGACAGTAGCTTCTGAGATTGCTTGACCAGATCATCAACTTTCAGGCACCTCTTTGATCTCAGCTTCGGTTCTTTTATTCCATTACTGTATACATAAGCCTGATTCTTCATGCTGACTTTATTGAATAGAGTCACGCTGAAATGATAACTATTGTTCCTTTCTTAGATAATGGTCACATGATGGCAAGCATTGATGTCGACCTGTGGGAGTATGGCCAGATTATAGATCTTGATGAGGTTGTGTTATGGTTGATCTTAATGGAATTTAACATCATATTGATGATCCTTACATACTTTAGTTTATGAATTATCCACCTATTTTCCTCTTGTTATTAGCTGTTGTAATGGTTATACTTATTGCTGCAGCCTATTGAGATTCTGAATTAGGAACTTCCTGGTCTCAAGAGTTTACCAGTTTCATCTAGCATTCAGAATCAGTGACTTGGTCCATAGCATGTCATCTTTTACCAGATGGGGGCGGTGGGGTAGGCTAGTGGTTAAAGCATTTGCTCAAGATGCTGAAGACCTGGGTTCAATTCCCCACATGGATACAATGAGTGAAGCCCATTTCTGGTGTCCACCACCGTGATATTGCTGGAATATTGCTAAAAGCAGTGTAAAACCAAACTCAGTCACTGACACTTTTACCAGATGGATCTGATGGTCAGACGTGGAGACTTTGTCCATAGCATGTCATCTTTTACCAGAAGGAGCTGATGGTCAGACTTGGAGACTTTGTCCATAGCATGTCATCTATTACCAGATGGATTGGATGGTCAGACTTGGAAACTTTGTCCATAGCATGTCATCCTTTACCAGAAGGAGCTGATGGTCAGACTTGGAAACTTTGTCCATAGCATGTCATCTTTTACCAGAAGGAGCTGATGGTCAGACTTGGAGACTTTGTCCATAGCATGTCATCTTTTACCAGAAGGAGCTGATGGTCAGACTTGGAGACTTTGTCCATAGCATGTCATCTTTTACCAGAAGGAGCTGATGGTCAGAATTGGAGACTTTGTCCATAGCATGTCATCTTTTACCAGAAGGAGCTGATGGTCAGACTTGGAGACTTTGTCCATAGCATGTCATCTTTTACCAGAAGGAGCTGATGGTCAGACTTTGAGATTTGATTTGAATCATATCCATCAAAACCTGTAGTGCTGCTCACAATGCTGATACTGTATGTTTGTCATAAAGATTAACTAACAATGGTTAGGCTCACTGATGTGGGTTGAGGCGTGTCATCATAGATTGAGGATCATGATGCCAGTCACTGGATGGACAGGTCCAGACAGAACATAGAACTGGAATATCGCACATGCATATCAGTGAACTGAACTAATTTGTTTGGAGAAATAGGTGGCCAGCTGATGCATTTTTCTTTAAAGAGTTTTGTCGCTAGACCAAAAACTGCCCTAAAGTGTAGTCCCAAATAACATATGTTACATATGAATTTACATCACAACTCATGCAAATGTAAAAGTTGTATGAAAGTAAATGATGCTATATTGTCATCGTATCCCAATTGCATGTATCGATGCTCATACTGTTGATCACCAGATTGTCTGGTCCAGACTGGATTATTTACAGACCATTGCCATATAGCTGGAATATTGCTGAGTGCGGCATGAAATAAACAAACAAACAAATATAATGTCAACAATGCTTGCTGTAAGAGGTGACTAACGGTGGTCGGGCTCATTGACTTGGTTGACACATGTCATCTTATCCCATTTGCATAGATTGATGCTAATGATTTTGATCACTGGATTGTCCAGACTCCATTATTTACAGACTGACGGCATATATTGCGACATCATTAATTGTTAGACAACAAACAATCTACCAACACTTCCACTTGAGCCGACATTAATCAACAATTCAATCCCATCATTTGCTTTACTACAATACAATGGGACAAAAGTGTTG